CATGCCCTGACTTAGATCAGCCCAGAGATTGTTTCAGGGTTCCATCTGTGAGTTAGCCATGCCCTGACTTAGATCAGCCCAGAGATTGTTTCAGGATTCGATCTGTGAGTTAACCGTGCCCTGACTTAGATCAGCCCAGAGATTGTTTCAAGGTTTAATCTGTGAGTTATATAGCCATGCCCTGACTTAGATCAGCCCAGAGGTAGTTTCAGGGTTCGATCTGTGAGTTAACTGTGCCCGCCCTCATACCAATAACATTGATTATTATCATTTTTATTTTTTCAAGGGGTCGAAATTTATGCCGCGTATAAAAAACTAGAACAATGCAGGGAACAGGTGCGAAAGGACGCAAAAAAGGGTCTGGATGATGTCGTCAAGGGAGAGAAACTGTTGATTGATATCCACAAAAATCTTACCGGCTACATGACGATGATTGATGAAAAGGTAGGTAGTTTGTTTTAAATGAGTGTGGAATGGTCAATCCCGTCGTCCCGTCGTCCCGTCGTCCCGTCGTCCCGTCGTCCCGTCGTCCCGTCGTCCCTTCGTCCCGTCGTCCCGTCGTCCCGTCGTCCCGTCGTCCCGTCGTCCCGTCGTCCCGTTGTACTTTCCAATTTCAATTATTTGTTTCATTTACTTATCACAGGGTGTTAAATATCTCAAAGGCGAGTTATCTAGTCAAAACGTTCTTGTGGAACTTGAAGCTATAAGAAAACTAGCCAAAGGAGCTGGCCAAAAGGCCCAAAGCAAAAATCTTACCATAGCAGCACAGAGCATTGACGCTTTTATCGTTGGAATTCAGGACGCAAATGCTAGACAAACTTTGGACCTTACTGCTGCTCTCGCCGATGGCCTAGCACGCGTCAAGTTTCTCTACACGTGCTTCGATGCAAAAGTGTCTCGTGGAATACTGCGTAGACCATTGCAGAAATGGTACCGATATCTTACCTAATATATACGCTTCAGCTGCAAAGCATTTTGACACTAAAGGCAAAGAATGCCTTGACGATGTTGGAGTACCATACTATAGTTTGGCTGATGTGCAGTTTAGCATGAACAAAAGAGCCGCCAAAGAAAATTTCTCGGCGGATTGTCTTCTTAACAGCAATGCCAAAAGGGAGGAAGTATGCAGGTGATTATATAATCATAATATTATTTGAAATGGAATACATACCAAATTTTGTAATAAAATATCCTCTCGTATTCTAAGCGTGTCCATAAGAACAAGCGTAGCTTAGTTGGTTAGTGTGCGGCATTGGGACCTACGCTTTAAGACCGAAAAACCTACCTACCTACCTAACTTCCTTTCTTTTCTCCCTTGCTTCCTTTCTACCTACCCACCTACCTACCTACCTACCCACCTCCCCACCTCCCCACCTCCCCCCATCTCATTATTATTGGTAAGGTTCTC